GTGCTGCTTGTCTTCAGTGAATCGATGCTCATGGCACTGGCCGAGAAAATCAACACCAACTTCACGGAAGACACTGCTCGCAGGCTGGTCTGGATCGACGGGATTGGCGGCTTGCTGTTGAAAGACGCCAATGGATGGGCATCACCTCGGAAGATGAGGATCCTGGAGCAGCTTTCACAGAACCTCCACGGTATGATGGCCATAACACCACCAAAGAGTGAGCTGCGCATGACCTTGACGAACATGCTGGAAGGCACCAACATGTGGCTGCAGGTTCGTACATATGAAGCTCTTCGTTTCTTTCGTTTCCATCTCCTTGATTCACATCGTTTTGTTGCAGCGTGTCCGGGTTGCAGTGGAAAACAAAGTTCGATACATGAGCATCGCTGGCGGATACTTTCCAGCGGAACACCGGTAGTTTCCCTGGCATAAAACATGCTTCACCTTACCCTGTACCGCTTATCTCCTGCCAGCAAAACTTACGAGAAAAAGAATGAGCTCACCTGTTTTCTACAGCCGTGACCTCTGGCAAGCTGAAGATCTTGCTCTCCGAGTGAAATCGCTTGCTCGCTCGCCCAAACCCTAATTTCGCTCAGTTAATGTTTTCTTGAATTCTCACATTACACATATTAGGAGCCCAACAGAAGGGTGAATCAGTGTATTATGCGATAAATTGCCTCTCTATTTAGTTCTGGTCAAGTAGAACAATCAACATCATCATTGTCTTTTACCATGTTTATTGTGTCTAGCAGCATCACTAATGTAGGTCAGAAAATTATGCAAATAATCCGGAGGCTTAGAATGAAGCTAAATTGGACATATCTTTAAGAAGCCAAACGCAATGCATAACCTCTTGAGCTGTTTGTTGCAGAAGTTAGTTGCATTGAGTTTTTCTCTTCCTTAGTTTTCAACATGGTATCCGAGATCACGGATTAGATCCTGGCTGAATGGAGGAGGAAGACGACTGATCTGGAGCGGCAGTTTTCTTATTTAGGCAACCCTAAATTGGAGGCAGTTCTTGATCGAGTCCGGCCTGGATTTGAATTGAAAGGGTTGCGGCACTGCTTGCTACCGCTGGAGATGATCTGATGTCCCTGCTGCTACAAGGGAAGGCTTCCTTGGGCTGGAGATTTGCTGATGCTGCCGAGAGGCTTCTCTTCTTGCTGGGCACTAGGCGTGGAATTGCTGTGCGCAAAGGGCCTTGAGGCTGATGGAGAGATCACATTTGACTGGGGGAGATGGAGCAAGATGCTGGTTCCTGACAGGTCCTGATACAAGCTGGGCTGTGTGCAAGCTTGGGTACTTTGGAACGTGCTGCTGCTACTGTTCAACACCACAAGATGCTGATTTCATGAGCTCAGCTTTTCTCATTTTACCATTAGTTTTTTTTTTTCTGATCCATGGCCTCGGCTGACTGGAGGATGCAGTACATCCACGTGGTGACACGTGGCAGATCTGAGCGATAGAGGTTTTTTTTCTTTTCTTCCTTAGTTTTCTACATGGACAACACAAGTAGCCTGTGAATTATTTAGGTACAACAGAAGAGGATCTAGCCCAGCTTGATTAGAAATTTCCACTGTTGGAGCCTACATGATCTCTTTTTGTTGGAGACACTTCCAAATGCTGAATTAAGCCATACTGACAGTCATGAATAGACTCTAGCCACCTGCAACATATGTCAATAAAGCACTTTCTACTGTTGATGATTACTTACATAACAATGCTGAATCAATGGTGCTTGACATACACCTCAGGATCTTCATCTTGCTCCATGATCTCAAGTTGTGTGCAGTCGATGCATTCTGCAACATTTGGAAGCTTGCATGTGAGGAAACCCTGGATAACCATAGCTAAATCTTCCAAGAACTTGATCAAAAGTCTTCAAGAGTATCAATGATTGCTTTACAAGTCTCATTCCTAGTCACTGTACTTTCGCCAATTCTGCAGAGCTCTAAGAGTGTGATATACTTGGCTCCACTTCATAGCTTGTACAAAGTACAACCCAGACTTACACAAAAACTGCTCTACGATAGTTGATATCTTGCTTTAGAATGTGATGGTGTAGGAGATGCACAATACTATTAAATGTTGTCTTTGCCATGCCAGAGTTTTGCTTCCAACGAGAACATAGAAGCATAAGGAAGAAGATGAATAACTTGATGTCCATGGCTTTCTCAATGAGAACCTGTAGGAAAAATCTTTACTCAAGAACAAGAACAAAAGTATTTCAAAAAGACTATACCCAAATGCAAGCTACACAATCTTACCATGCCACTTCTGCTACTGCATCAAGACTGTGATCTTGGTTGGCCAAGTTGTTGTTTTGTGTTAGCAGCTCGCTCATCTTCCATATGCTGTGTCTCAAACTCCCTCTCCTCAGCTACACATTATCTCTCCTTTGCCAAATGCTACTCCTCAAATCGTATAAAATCTTGGTGCCAAGCACGCTCCTTTATCTCCATATGTTGCTTCATCCTCATCTTCTCTGCTTCTCTCATTTTCTTGTACTTGGCCTGAGTGCTTCCACCATCAACTCAGTTTTCTTCCTTCCCTTCAGTCTTCAAGATGATTTTTGCTATCTATCTCTAGTAACATAGAGTGGAATCATCCCAGCTTCATTGTCTCTATTACTTCCATGCATTGTACCACTTTGCACATGATGTTTTAGTGCCATGTGACTACTTCACACTAGTTCAACTGGCTGCTGTCTATGATATTCATGGGCTTGATATCTAGCCTGAATAAAGAACTTGCTGTAGCTCGTCAAACATTTCTCGCGTGATCCTCATTTGTAGTTTCTCTGGGATCAAAGCTTGCTTCCCGTGCACATTAGGTACTCTTGTTATATTTTCTACTCTACTGTTGAGAAGCTTCAGTAAGATGCACTCCCACTTCTTGGCTATCGACACCATCTTTTCTCGTTGATCTATGTTCGTTGACTCATCTTTAATCTCATGGAGCTTCACATTGATGAGGAGCATAATTTCTACAAGAGACCAATTTGGCAAGTGATCTCTTGCTAGTAAAGTTCTTGCTTTTGTTAGTGACGGCCTTAGTAGCAGCAACATGAAGAGATGGCCTAGACCCGCCAACAGCAAAAGCAACCTCAGTAGCAACAAGAGAAATTTCTGCCACTGCAAGCTTTTCTATTACTTTGAAAGTTCTAAAAATGCTTGTTTACCTCTAAAGTTCTTATGCTCCTCATAAAAATCCTTGGCAAGCACAAGTGCTAGAACTTCCAAGGAATGTGAAGTGGAAAAATTGATAAATCACTTTTTTACTTAGAATTCTTGCTGGTATAGCTGCTCCCAAATTCTGGCAACAAATTGATGCGCTCCCGCTGCAAAGCAATTCAATCAATCCACACTAAGAACTAAGAGCTAGCATACCCTAGATCCGGCCAGCAATTGCTGAGCAGAGTAAATACCTAATACTAGCATTGAAAGAGCCAAGGCACCCCAGACGACATTGTCAATGCCATTGGCAAATTGCCAAGATGCCAAGCCCAGTATGCAGATGTCTAGCTAAAAATATATGGCACCATATGAATTAATTTTTTATTAGTGGCATATTTTATTTATAATATAAATTCTGAATAAATAACAGTCATTAATCCCCAGTTAAGTCATCAGCTTTGATCCCAGCTATGTATGATTCCTTTTGCTCTTGTGAGCCATCTAAATTGCTGAAAATTGATGTTTTATTAGTTCTTATGTTTATATATGGATCTGGAAATATTGAGAATCCAAAAGCACCCAAAAAAGGGAAAATCCTATTTTAATATCCAACTTATGATTTGGGGGATCAAAGGGTTATTAAAATAGGAAAGTATAAATTATTTTCCCTTTTTAGGTATAGATTATATCCAATGCTTGGAATATGGAAAGGGAATACAGAAAATGTACATATCAATTAATAAAATATCAATTTTTAGCAATTTAGATGGCTCATTCTTTCTCTCTCTCAAAGAAGAACATGTATCACATATTAGTAGGAGCAAAAAAATATCACAAAAATACATCCACTATATTACTTACAAGAGTAACTTCAATATTATACAACAAGTGAAAAAGGTTGAGGACTAATGTTTACCATACATGTGTGACATATATAATGATGTACTTTAAATTCTGTTAATTCCATATCACCATTTATACAATATTTTCTTGTAGTGTTAAAGTGATATAAAAAATATATTTAACTTTTCTTTTACTACATAGGCTGTGATATCTACCATGGATCAAGCTTCCATGATTAGTCACCTTAAACAGACTTCTACAAGCGTATTAGAAGAAGAAGTTCAGACTCTTAAACAACTTTACCTAAGAATATAAAATCCAGTTCAAAGAGGAAAGTATGCCTTTTATAGCCTTATTAAACATATTATTCCCCAGGAGCAATGGATATTTCTGCACGCCCACATTGGCAAGTTGGATCAAACACAATCACTTAGCAAGTTGGCCTCAAACACAATCATGTTTCTCCAATAACTACACCAATAGCACTACTTCTACAACTCCACCAAAAAAATATCAATAGCATTACCCCTTGATCTTGCCACTATGGAGAACAAAACGTGCCATGATACTAGTTTATATTTTCGAAGCGCAACTACACATGAAATTTCGAAAAGTCAACAATCATTTTCCAGGATATAGCTTTCCAACATCAATCGGCGCTGGTGGTGATTGCATGGCAGCGAAAAGTTTGGCCCAGGCAATTCGAATCTCGGACAAAATTGCCGCAAGGTCCACGAACACAAACTCGAGCAAGGTCTGTAGGAACCAATGTAGGATCTTCTTAGCAGCGGTCGGCCATGTCCGAGACTACCTCAAGCGAATCCAGGATCTCAACTTCGCGAGCACTGGGACAGCTTTCGTGTGGGACGAAACCGTGGCTGTCCTTAAGAGAGGCCTCCATCTCCTCAAGTCGTGCCAAGAATGCAATTGGATGGCGCGGAGCCTGCTGTTCAAGGAAAGCTGCGATGAGTTCCAGAGCATTTATCCCGAGATCTTCAACTGTGTCGAGCTCGTCAGCGTCTATCTCTTTCAGCTGGCACCGTCCACCTCGGTAAGATCCAAGATTGCCGAAGCTTACAACTCGTGCCTCATGAGGCAAAACTCGAACAGCATGCTGGAAGAAGCCGGAAGGAATGACAGGAAGGCGCTCATGGCTCTCGCAATGAGCCAAGAGCCGGGAAGCCTGACGACCGAGAGCGAACAAGCCAAAGAGATACTTTGCTCCATGCTCCTGGGAAACAAGTCAGTGATTAACCACAAGGAACTCAAGCTGACAACACACCTGGGACAAGGCGGTTTCGGAACCGTGTACGAAGCAATCTGGCTCGGTCACAAGTTTGCAGTGAAAGTCTTCCCTCAAGGTGACAAGAGCTTCGCCAAAGAGCTCGCGGTTCTCGAAGCGGACAAGCATCCCAACGTGTTGCACATCGCCGGTCATTCTTTCGATGAAGAGAAGCAGCGGTACTCGCTGGTGATGGAGAAGATGGACATGGACCTGGCAAACTACGTCCTCAAGAAGAAGAACTCTCTCCCGTTGCTGTCGATCGTGGCAGTGATGCTCCAAGTTGCTACTGGCATGGCATGGCTTCACTCGAAGAATATAATCCACCGGGACCTCAAGCCGCAGAACATCTTGGTTGGCGAAGAAGACAACGATCTCGTGAGTATCAGGATTGCCGACTTTGGAGTCTCGAGGCCAAACTTCATCTCCTCCCAGATCGAAGCCGTTAGCATCCAAGGCACCAGGAACTTCATGGCACCGGAGGTGTGGAGCAGCGAGCGCTACACGAAAAAGGCCGACGTTTACAGCTACGGGATGCTGATTTACCAGCTTGTCACTGGAAACGTTCCGTTCGAGGACGGGATGGACATGGAGCAAGTCCTTCGAGGCAAGCGTCCTGAGATACCAGCCACCTGTCCAGAGTTCCTGTCGCAGCTCATGCGGGAATGCTGGAGCCACGATGCAAAAGAGAGGCCTTCCTTCTCGGATATCTGCGAGCGGCTGAAGCAGCTCAAGACCAGGACCATTACTGGCACCGACTCCATGGACGAGTTACGAGCCAAGTTGGTTGAAGCAGCCAGGTCATCTTCCTCTTCTTCGTACTCGTCGTCTTCCTCGTCCTCGTCGCACAGCAGGACTCGAGTGAACATGGATTCTCTTGTCCAAGCGACTGAGAAGCTTTGGACCCAAAATCCTCCTCCTCCCTTTGTCCAGGTAAACTCTTTTGCTTTTAGTAACTTCCGGAGCTCGCCACGTTTGGTTTCAGCCGGTACCACACCGTCCTCAGCACGTCGCACCAGCAGCAAAGCCGGATAACAGGACCGAGCTCTTCGAACTGGTGAAGAATGGCCTCGTCAAAAACGCCTTCGAGAAAGCTCTGTCCCTGAACGATCCTTCCACGGTCTGGTGGCTTTGCACCAAGGTAATCCATTCACGTCCTCCAGCTGCTCATCAAAGCTCGTCCTTTGTCAACTTAGGTGGACCATACCGTCCTGCTTGTCTTCAGTGAATCAATGCTCATGGAACTGGCCGAGCAAATCAACACCAACTTCAAGGAAGACACTGCTCGCAGGTTGCTCTGGCTCGACGAGATTGGAATCTTGCTGCTCAAAGACGTCAATGGATGGGCATGGTCATCACCTCGGATGCTGAGGATCCTGGAGCAGCTTTCACAGAACCTCCACGGCATGATGGCTACAACACCGTCAAAGAGCGAGCTGGGGATGAAGCTGGCGAAAGCGCTGGAAGGTACCAACGTGGGTCTCCAGGTTCGTATGAAGCTCTTCGTGTTATTCGTTTGATTCAAATCGTTTGTCGTCGCAGCATGTCCGAGTTGCAGTGGACAGCAAAGCTCAATACATGAGAGTCCTCGGAGGATACTTTCCAGCGGAACACCGGTAGTTTCTGAGTATTTCGATGTTCTAATTTGCTTCAACCAATTCCCATTCTTGACTTTGAGTAAACGCCTATCATCCTCTCATCCTGCCAGGGAAAACGTGAAGCATTCTTAAGAGACAAAAATCCAAGATAAAAGCTCCCACCATTCTTTAGTTCTTAAACTCGAGTAGACGGTGAAGAGCCCAACCTTTTCGATCTGGCAGCAGCAGTAGCAGCCTTGGCAGCTTCCGCAGCAGCGTAGACACCAGTAGTTCTCGTAGCCACAGCATCGAGGATCATCGATCTCCGCTCAAAGAACGATTTTGCCGCTTTCAACTTCTCGGGATCCCCATACTTGTATGGCTTGTAGACGATCCCAGCAGCTAGCCGCTGCTTCTTGAGCTTGGCTGGACGAACGTACGCATCGCCCAGCTTGGCCTTCAATCTCTTCAAGCGCTTCTGGATCACTCTCCTCCGGTACACTCGCGGCTCGGGGATCTTGGGATCGGCGAGCGGCAGGCGATCTGGAGCAGGAGGCACAGCAACCCACCTGAAAATCCGATCGTCCGCGTGACCACCACCACCGCCTCCCGCTTTGTTGCGCTTGCCCGGATTCTTGGAGCCGGCGCTCTCGCCGTGCAAGCACTGCGTGTGGACGAGGAATTTGCTGCGGAGCCACACGAGCAAGCGCCTCATGTGTGTCTTGCTCTTGATCCCTTCCTTCTCGGCGTGCTCCCAGAGATCGCGCGATCCAATCGGGCCATGGGTGCGAACAATGCTGAGTACCTTCTGCGTCGGCAGATCCTTGGGGCTCTTCTTGGCGTAGAGGAAGGGATTGGAGAGATCCACCTCGTGGAGCTTGTAAAGGCGCCGTGGGAAGCGACGAGCGAGCTCCACCGCCATGGCGCCCAAAAACCCTAGCCAAAACCCTAATCCCAGGATCACATTGCTCTATCAAAATATCGATTGCTCGAGTAAAATCTGGAATGGCGCGAGAGAAATCACTGCTCCACCGCCATGGCACCCAAGAACCCTAATACTACGATCGCATTGTGCTCGAGAACGAAGAACACTAGAATTAAAGAGGGGAAAATTTTGGTATTCCAGGATCTGGGGCAAGAGAAGAAAGAATCACTCCTCCTCCACCGTCTTGGTCTCGAGCTTCCGGAATCCCTCGGCCGGGAGCTCCGCCACGGTGACGTAGCTGTAGAGCTCCTCCTTGGCGTCCTCGTCGTCGTTGCGCTTGCGAGCAATCCGGACGCGAATCCTCCGCGGCACATTGCGGATGCCTCTACTCCAGACGTGCTTGTTGAGCTTGACATCCACCCTCACATCCGAGGTTCCCATGGCCTTTTGCGCGAATTTCTTGATCTCCTTCACCGCCCGGGGAGCCATCTTCTTGAAGGTGCTGCGGCAAAACAATCGATTCGATCGAATGGAGCGTGCGATTGAAGCTTACCAGCCATGGATCCGCTTGTGGAGATTGATGGTGTACTCCCTCGTCACGACCTCCTTCTTGCTGCGGCTGTTCTTCTTGTCGGCCATCGCTCACCTCGTAAACCCTAGAGACTCCCGCCGTCGGATCTAGGGCAAACTCCACTTTTAGGGCGTGCTGGAAGCGGGAAATCTGAGCCGTTGGAATGTGCGGCTGGATGTCGAGCTCGCCACATTAAAAGAGACGTTAAGCTACAAGGACTCGAGCCCGGGACCACCTAACTAGGAGCAATCGTAGACGCTAAAATCAACGGACGGATTCCACTGACCACTTGCACCACTTGCGTGCCGCTGCGTATTCATTGCCCTCCTCGCATTAACTACATTCTAAGTTTTACGTGCGCCGTACGGAGGTTTGGGTCATGGCCATTAATGCCACATATGATTTGGACAATTTCTCGATGGACCTCCTAGTTTTACCCACCAAATAAGCAGCCGCTTATGTCAATCAAATCACCATCGCCCTTCCCTATTTGTGTCATCCACGTCACCGTCGTGTTGACTGCGGGCCGCCATCTCGGCCGTCCAACGTGCGATCCGACAGTCTAGACGGTACCGTACTGTCGGCGGCATATTCTAGAATTCAAACTTTCAAATTTTCGTGGCGGGCGGGGTAACGTGCATGGCATATTGACTTAATGCGCAATGTTTTTGTCCGTCAACTTAGAATATAAGCTCCCAAAATTTCACGTCGTGGGATCCAGGTTGTAAAATTTGTCCATTGCCATGAAATTGCCAAGAAAATATAAGAACAGAAACTCTCTAGAGGTCATCAATCGTCAGCCCTAATCGAAGAAACCTCATCGAAACCTCCAGAAGTGGTGCCCCAAGAAAATTTGGTATAGTCTTTCGCCTAAAGATATATTTGATTCCAAGCAAGTTTGAGACAGGAGATTAAAGTAAAGGAGACCTTTGCAACGCTTTCGACGGCAAAGCTAGTGCCTGTACAGCGACAATGTACGTGTATATCTTCCTCTTTTGCGGCGGGGTGGGGGTTCGAATCCACGCCAGAAACCCGCGAACGAATTTCCCTTTCACGCATTTTTAAAGCCTTTTCTAAACGAACTTTACCGGAACATTTACCGCCACGCTGACAAACAACTGGGGAAAAGGTCCCTGCTCCTTTTATTTACCTTTCTACCACAACCACGGTAAAATCGCCCTGACTTGCCTGCCACCCTGCCTGGGCCGTCACGCACGTCACCATCATCGCGACCGTCACTCCGCTTTTGATAGACGGTTGCGATAACGACTCGCCCCGCCAGCCCTAAACGGTTGCCCGTTATAAACGACCGCCCGCCAAAAAACACGGGCGGGCCCCGCCGCCCAAAAGCTCTCCCCGACCAAAACCGTTGGCCGGGCAAAAGAGCTTTTGGCCAGGCGGGCACGCTCCATGCGAGGGATTTTCTCTCTTTATAAACCCGCCATGAAGAGCCCATTCTCCCCAAGCCAGGAAAGAGCTCACGATCAATCAAGCGTTCTTGGCGAGCGCGTCTCTCTCGCCTCCTTCGATCGATTTGGTATCTTTCTCTCCATTCTCGCATATAATCCTCTCTCGCCGCGGCTAATCTGTGTGAAATCTCTCGAAACATCGCAGGCCATGGCTTCCAGGGCGCCTCTGCTGCTCGCGATCGTTTCTTGGATCGCATTTCTCCACCAGGCCGCGGCGACTGGCCACCACGGCGTGGCGCGCGGCCATCACCAGCATCGCGGAGGCGGCCACGGCGGCGGCGGTGGCGGATCGTCCGGAGGAGGCTATGAATCCGGCTCCTGGACCGGCGCGCATGCTACATTCTACGGCGGCAGCGATGCATCTGGAACCATGGGTGAGGCATCGCGTTTCTTGCGAAATATTTCGCTCGATCTTGGTTTCTTGTTCTAACTGGAGCCCTCGCCTTGGATCCTCTCTACCAGGAGGAGCTTGCGGCTATGGCAATCTCTACAGCCAGGGCTACGGCACCAACACCGCGGCATTGAGCACCGCGCTCTTCCAGAGCGGCCTCTCCTGCGGCGCTTGCTTCGAGGTGAAATGCAATGGTGATCCCGAGTGGTGCCTCCCGGGCTCCTCTGTTCTCGTCACGGCCACGAATTTCTGCCCGCCCAACGACGCGCTCCCGAACAACAATGGCGGATGGTGCAACACGCCGCTCCAGCATTTCGACATGGCGCAGCCAGCGTTCGAGCAGATCGCCAAGTACAGGGGAGGCATTGTGCCTGTTCTTTATAGAAGGTACAAGCACTACATTCCCATTTTCCATTTTTTCTCTTTGCTCTTAGATCAAACGCTTGGTTGTTTTGTGTTGCTTTGCTTCTTCTATGTGCCAGTCCCATCTAGATCAAACTTTTGGTTGCTTTGCTTTGCGAAACTTTTGTTTGCTTGGCTTTGCTTGGCTTCTTCCCTGTTCATCGAGATGAGATCCTTTAGAGAAAGTCATAGCACCCACATTGCTCTGCTTTGCTTTGCTTTTATTTACGTCAGGCTTTTCTTCGTTTCAGGGTTCCATGCCAGAGGAAAGGCGGCATCCGATTCACCATGAACGGCCACAACTACTTCAACCTGGTGCTCGTCACCAACGTTGGCGGCGCCGGGGACGTCCACTCGGTTTCGATCAAGGGCTCCAACACCGACTGGCTGCCAATGTCGCGCAACTGGGGCCAAAACTGGCAGAGCAACGCCATCCTCAGCGGCCAGTCGCTCTCCTTCAAGGTCACCACCAGCGACGGCCGGACGGTGGTGTCGTACGACGCTGCCCCGCCCAATTGGCAGTACGGGCAGACTTACAGCGGCGACCAGTTCTGAGCTCTCTGATCCATCGACTCGACGCCGCTGGCTTTGGATTCCCTGGGTGGTGTTTTTTTTTTTTTCCCCCCTCCTTTCCTCGTTCTTCGCTCTTTTCTCTTTCGGTGGATTTTGGATTTTGGTGGTGGCAGCAGCGCAGCAGCAGATTTGAGAGCTGGGATGTGGGATCTCACAAACAGCCCGTGTCTGCGGCAGCAATTACGCCACCCCGTCCGATCTTGGATGCTGCGGTTTAGTTTTTTAAGGCAAAGTAGCCACCCGCATTCGAGGCATTCCTTGGTTCTCTTCCACAAGATTTTGTTTTCTCTTTTTTACACCCTTTTCTTCGACCAGCTCCTCTGGTTACTTGATTTTGTTCTTGATTCTTGGTGGCTGCCGAGGTGGTGGTGGAACACGACTACCCGCACCCACGAGAACAAAATATACTGGTTTTCTAGTACGTATCGCAGCCAAGGGAACGTGATCTCCTTCCTGTCACAAAGGATCACAGGACTTTTGGCGTTTGTTTTTGTTTCACAAAGCTTGATATGAATATAACTTACTAGGTTATAGTTATGGGAACTGATCAAACTCGAAACTTGATAGTACCAAATCTAAGCAACTTTATAGCCTTGTCACATGCCGCGAGAACTTTACACCCAACGCAACATGACGAGTGAGATTTCTTCCATTCTTTTGGCCTTTGTTGTTCTTGTTGTTTGTGGAGTTGCAAAAGAATAGAAGACCACCACCTCCACCACCAACTTTTTACAATCTCCCCCAAACAGATGAGATGGGCCATGGGCCCCAACCCAAACTCTCGTCCGTACCAGCCACCATGTGGCGTGAGAAAAAGAAAGGCGAGATTGTGATTTAGTCACATGCGGCATGCCGTCATACATGTGCCATGTGCATTGCCTTTAAAGCTTTAGGTCTGTCTGTCGCGCCGCGCTCATCGTTGTCCTCCCCTTTCACACGCCCTTGACCAACAGCTTTCCTAAAACAACTATGACCGTTGACCATTTTTCGCGCTTCCAGATATTAACCCAAAACCCTAAATACTGACCATTGACCACCTGGACCAAATCTTTGTCACTCGCTAAAACAGTTTCCACATCACGGGCCCCGGCTCATACGGCATGCTTTCGATCAGCTCCTTGGCCTGTTTCGCGAATCCTTTCCGCGCGAGGATGTCGATCACGCACTCGTAGTGCTCCGCGGTGTGTTCTATCCATCTGTCCGCAGCGATGGATCGGAAGTCCCTTGACGAGCGATGATCCGGTGGTGTGGTTCCTGATCGCCACCAAAACGTTGAGCATCGTTCCTCCGTCCGGGATCATCCCGTTCCAATCCATCCTCCTGAGAAGCTCCAGGACTTGCCTGAGATGCCCGGCTCTTGCGTACGGTTCCATGAGCGAGTTCCAGGAGGTCGTGAGCTAGGAAAACCTCCGCTGCTTTGGCCAGAACTCCACACTTCTCATACATGGCTACCAGCGCCGTCTTGATCGCCGCGTCCACAAACTGCTCGTGGAGTTTTCTGCCCTGCGAGAAATCTCCCATGGCTGCGCAGGCATTGATCGCAGGCCACGCGCATTGATCGCAGGGCCGAGCTTCGCGCATTTCTCTAAGCCGCGTGCGTCGTCGCGTCCGCCAGCCTCTGCTTTTAGGGCTCTTGTATGATTCCAGCCGTATATCCATTTAGGGTTTTTAGATTTAGTTTTTAAAAAAAGTAATTTATATTAAATCTAATTCTTACCTTTAACAAACACTCTTAAGCTTTTCAATCACTTCCGTCAACTTGGAGAGCTGCTTCGATCACTTCGTTCAGATTATCAGATTCTTGGGTCTGGAAAAAAGCCCTAGCCACATCCGACCAGGCCCAAGAGTGACCATAGCGAGAGCGCTGACCGGGTCATCCGCTGGAAGTGGACCAGCCCTCGAGGAAAGATAAACAAGTCCCCGGGATATCAAACCTTCTCGAACAGCCTGTTGGCAGTCGTCACAAACCCAGCGTCGATGCGTTCCTGGAGACAATAGGTGACCTCGGATGATCGGGGATGGACGTGGGGAGGATTCTTGCGTGTTGAGGCCTGGGAACCTTGTGATGTCGATCAGCTGGACCATGATGTGAGAGTGTTGGTGGTTTTTGCAGGCTCCCGGGATGATGGTGGAGGTGAAATCGTCGGCGGTCACCCTTGCAAGGAACTCCGTTGATGAAGATTCTGGAGTTGGGATCCTGGACGTAGGGCTCTTGACTACAACGTTGGCAATTGCCAAAACTGCAATAAGAGGACTTCACAATCGAACACTTGATTCCACAGCTTCAAAGAAGCAGCGCTGTCCGTAGACACAGAAAATTCCTTTGAGCTTTCGTATACTGATTGGCACAGTAGTTACAGATCTTAACATAGACAGCGCCAGCTTAACATAGAGAGTAGGATTGAGTTGTTTAAAAACATCCATCAATGCAAAAATGCAATCTGGATGATGCTTGCGTTTAATGCCTAATGTGTTTGTTATTGCCTATGAGATTTTGCATGTGTTGTGCTACAGAGATTTTGTTGTCCATTCTTATTAGCTGGATCGACTAACTGAAGTCGGGAGCTGGAGCGATGGTTTCAATCCCCCTCCACAGCAGCAGCCCCTCTTTCGTCTCGATCCTCTTGGAAATTCAAGGCTTTACCGCTGGATCCCATCTAATGGCCCCTCTTCGCTGGCTGATCTTCTCCCAAGCAGCATCCATTCCTCTCGTGACCCTCCTTGGCCCACCTCGGCACTGTCTTGGGAGAGTCTGTGAGGAATTCATATAACAAAATAAGACATTCCTCAATTTTCAAAACTGCCACAGAGGCTTTACTAAAATTTCTCTACTAGAATGCTCCATCCAAAGAAGCAGCACAAAAATCTTGGAGAGGCCTGAAAAAGTGTAGTTCAATCTGCCGGAATTGGACCGGCGACCTAGGGATTCCTGAGCACCTTTGAACTAAGAGCTTTATTGAAATTTTTTGCAAGCATTTTGTAGTTGAACCTTTTGTCCAGAATCAAGTCCGACTCACTCCACGTCGTAACTCATCAATCTCATTTTCGTCAACCTGCAAAGTTGCCTCCAAAACTTCGTTCATGATGTCTGGAGTGGTCTGGAACAACGCTCTAGCCATGTCTGTTCTTCCCGGGTTTTGACTTCCAAGCGCAGCCACCGCAACCGAGTCCGACTTATCCAGGTTTCGCTGGAAGTGAACTAGTCCCCTGGGAAAGATGAACAGATCACCGGGATGCAAAACCTTTGCGAACAACTGGTTGGAAGTTGACACAAATCCAACATAGAGGCGTCCTTGGAGGAGCCAGATGACCTCGGACGCTCGGGGATGGTTGTGCGGAGGATTCACGCCAAATGGACCGAATGCAAGGCGAGCAATGGAGAGTCCCTGCGTGTTGAGGCCTGGAAACATTGTGATATCGATCAAGTCGACTTGGATTCGCAGTGTGTTGTTTGTGACTGGAGCCTGACGAAGGATTGTGGAGGTGAAGTCATCGGCAGTGACTGTGGTGGGATCTTTGCAAGGAACTCCGTTGATGAACACTTTGGAGTTTGGATCTTCGACGCAGAAATCCTGGAGAGGATCCTCATCGCCCAAAACTCCAATAATAGTTAAGCACAGAAAGAATGACACCGTGACAATTTTGATGAGAGCCATTGGCATAGAACACTTGAAATTGTGAAAACTCAAGACGAAACTACTTGGTATGAATCTGTGGCCTCTGCTCGCTGGTATTTATTGGCAGAAATGGCATCGAGAGCTATAATTTTTAATTGTTTCTCATGGTCACGTATACATTCATAGACCCATGCAGAGACAACGATATGTCATGTCACCCGTTGGCGTGAAGTAGTGGATCTTGAGTGAAAGATCTCAAAGGAAGAGGAGCCGTGAAAGGCAGCATGGAAAATTCGGAGATTTATAAATCAGACTTTTTAAAACATTTCTAGAACTGAAATCTCAACAATAAAGGAAGGCTCTATCAACAGCAAATCTCCACGCTAAACAGTGCACACTTTGAAAAAGTTGACAGAGATCCAGCCACGGAAAAACTCCGCTTGGAAGAATTAACTTAGCACAGCAATGACTCAATTCACTTCCATTCACCAAGGGCTGTGGATTAAAAGGTTTAAGCCTTGAATTATTTTTGTACTTAGAAGTGTGTTGTGTTAATTGTTAATGCCTCAGATCTTCTCAAAATGTGTGCATGCAAGTGTTACAAAGATTGTTTTGTCCAAGCTACTGGATCAATTAGCTTTCATCCTTATAAAGTGGGGCCAGACTTGGGCCACCTCTTGGATTTCATGGCTCTCGTCACTGGCTGATCTTCTAAGCATAAAAAGTCCTCCACATTCCCTGCTTGGCCCACAGCACGATTGTGAGGAGTTTTAGTCAGAATTCCTATCAAATTATATTATTATATTTGTCACCAACACATTCCTCATTCTTTTATTTAAGTATCTTCGCACTAGAAACACAAAGAGACGCTCTTATTGCCAATGAACATAAGAGAAAAGCTTACTATCCTAGATCTGGCTTGCTGTTTGCTCTTTGAATTTTATAAGCTTTTATGGGTCAGAGACAAGGCTCTTCTCCTTGAGGTCTATGCTTCTAGCTGATTTATCATTGTAAAACTAATATTTAATCTGCCGGAATCGAACCGGGTTGCATGTTATCACACATTTAGTAACTTATTAATCTCATTAACTTCATTCGTGATGTTTGGAGTGGTTTGCTATGTTAAGGCCCTTGAGAAAGATAGTCACCAGGATACAAAACCTTCTCAAACAACTTTTTGGAAGTTAACAATGATTTGTATATGTGACCATGTAAAAAAAAAATTGGCTCCTCGACGCTATTGACAACTGTGAATACTGTCGAGCAGAGGCCACAGATCCATACCAAGTATTTCATCTTGAGTTTTCGCAATTTCATATACCAACGGCGCACTCTTTTTTGTGCATCTTCTCCAGAATTTCTTCATTGAGGATCCAAACTCAACGTTTTCATCAATGGTGTGCCTTGCAAAGATCCCGACACAGACTTCACCTCTACCATCCTTCAACACACTGAGAATCGAAGTCGACTTGATCGATATTAGAATGTTTCCAGGCCTCAACACACTCCATTGCTTGCCATGCATTCGAGTTTTTTCAACATTTCTAGAACTGAAATTTCAAAGATATAGGAAGGAATATTGGCCTCTATCAACCACAAATCTCCACTGTAAACAGTGAACACTTTGACAAAGTTGATAAAAATCCAGGCAAGGAAGAACTCCAGCTTGGAAGAATAAACTCCAACACAACAATGACCCAAAACAATATAAACAAAGCTGAACTCGCTGTGCAAAACAAAGACCTGAATTCAAGGGCTTCAAGGAAGCAACGCTATAGACGTGCTAGACACATCCTGATGAATATCATTTTGCATGTAGTATAGCAATCGCCAAGAGTATAGCGGTCGCGGCGAATCGAAGGGTTTTATGCTTAAATGGACATGGTCCCTCCCTTATTAGACTTGAGCCGGAGCTGGAGTTACACCTTAGCCTCTTTGTCATCTTGGTCCTCTTGAAATTTTCAAGGCTTTCTGCAGAGGCCGCCCTCCCAGGCAGCACTGAATCTCTTAGAGTCAAAAACAAATTTCACTGTAGTGTTGACATTTTTTTCAATGGATAACTTTAAGTCTTGGTTTGATTCCTGCAGATCGGACTTCTATTACAGGATGTAAATTCCATTGTCCAATTTCTAACACTTTCTCTGCCAACTGAGCTAAGATCAGTTTTGATTATTTATTGAAACTTTTACAATTTATTAGTTGGACTTTTTGTCAGTAAAGTCTGGCCAATCCACACGAGAACTTCGTTCGTGATGTTTGGAGTTTGTTTGGAACAACGCTCTAGCCACGTCTGTGCTTCCCGGTTTTTGGATTTCAATCGCAGCCAAACCGTGTCGACTTATCCAGGTTTCGCTGGAAGTGAACGATATCTCTGGGAAAGATTCAAAACCTTTGCAAACAGCTGGTTGGAAGTTGACACAAATCCGACGCAGAGGCGGAGCCAGATGACCTCTAACGCTCGGGGATGGCTGTGTGGAGGATTCACGCTGAATGGACTGAATGCGAGGGAAACATTCTAATATCAATCAAGTTGACTTGGCTTCTCAGTGTGTTGTTTGTGACTGGAGCCTGGGGAAGGATGGTGGAGGTGAAGTCGTAAGCAGTATCTCTTGTGGGGGCTTCGTTGATGAAGACTTTGGAGTTTGGATCCTTGACAAAAAAGTCCTAGAGAGGATCCGGATCGCCCAAAACTCCAACGATGGCCACCATGCATAAGACAAGGAATCCAAAAAGCATTTCTTGCTAGTGCCATTTGTGCTCTCGCTCACTCTCTTACCTCCTCTAGTTTAATCTCTCTCGCTCTCTTTAAAACAACGCAGTGGCCGCGAGCTTAAATGAAGGAATATGTAAGTAGGTGGATCGAGACTTTACCTTGGAATTGTCTTGTTGATTTTCCTGGCATGCTCGCGCTGAGCTGCAGCTCTTTTGATAATCGTGCTTCCAATTTTCCACCGAGGATCAATTTTACGTTGTTACAACTGTAAAGATTGTGTGGTCCCTATGACCAGGAAGGCGCTGCTGGTTGATTCGCTGCGCCGCGAGCTCGCAAAGCTAGCGGCTTTTATGCCGGAGAGCGTGTCACGGGTGAGGTGGTACCCGTCAACGACGAACTGCTGGACGCATCTTGTCAGAATCTCACACTACTTGATTCACGCGAGAGAATGAGACGAGGGCGAGGATAGTTTCCAGCACAGACCTTGAGCTGCAACTGCTCCAGGAAGTAGGGCTTGAGGACTCTATTCACCACCGTAAACTTCAACCATGGAGAGTTGAACTTAAATCTGTGACCCAGCACAGTTGACGAAGTGTTGAGGGGTTTTTGTTCTCCTATTTGTTATCGAGAATTTGCAAGGACTCGTAAGACATCATTCCACATTTTGTACTTTGCGCATGTGTAGAACTCCTTTCACCAGTCAGGTCTTTTGGGATGGACGGCTCAGCGTTTGCTGCGAGAGAAGAACAAGAGAGAAGAAGAAGAAAAACTTGCGTAGAAAAAGATAATTGTTACTACTAGATCGCCATTGTCAAGACCATCTGCATGTAGCCCAGCCACACTCCCACCTGGTGTTGCTAGCGATTCTCCCAAGATTGATGCAAGCACTTGCCTCCTCCCACATCTGCACTGCTATTTGCCAGATCTTCTGAAGACCCACTATGAGGAGCTTTATCTTGTAGCTCCCAGCACGCAAACCCGTGGTCTCGTCAAGTGCCGGGAACCTCGCCATGGCCCTGAGCTCAACCCAAGGATCTACTTTTCATTATGTGGCGGCTCCGCAAAGCCCCTCCAAAGAAGCGCACAGGTGGACGATTGCTGACCATGCGGCAATCGAACCAGCGACCCAAGGATTTCTCAGAGCTACTACAGTCCTCCACTCTGCCAACTGACTCGCTAAGATTGGTCTTCCTTGTTTACCACGTTCCACGAGACGATTCCAGCATTGGCCGCAATTCCTCGATGCATCCAGCACTTTTCTACCACAAAATCCCGGAGGCGCTCTTGGCGGAATCCAACGCCCGTGAAACATCGCTCGCGTGCTTGGATCGCGAGATCATCTCCACCTGGTTGCGTGAGACGCTCTTGCGGATGTGATCCACGCGAGCCCTTTGTTAAATTTAAAATGATTCCAGTATGTCCTTTTAGGGCTTTTTAGAAAACTTAATTTATATTAAACTCATTATCTCAAGAACATTCTTTCTTACCTTTATCAAAAACTCTTCTCAGGTCTGGCTCACTCCAGCGCGAAGCTTTTCGATCACTTCCTCGTCAACTTGGAGAGCTGCTTCGATCACTTCGTTCAGATTATCAGATTCTTGAGTCTGGAAAAGAGCCCTAGCCACATCCGTGCGACCAGGGTTTTGACTCCCAAGAGTGGCAATAGCGAGAGCGCTGACCGGGTCAAGGTTCCGCTGGAAGTGGACCAGCCCTCGAGGAAAGATAAACAAGTCCCCGGGATACAAAACCTTCTCGAACAGCCTGTTGGCTGTCGTTACAAACCCAGCGTAGATGCGTCCCTGGAGACAATAGATGACCTCGGATGATCGCGGATGGACGTGGGGAGGATTCACTCCGAATGGACCGAATGAGAGGCGAGCGATGGAGAGTCCTTGCGTGTTGAGGCCTGGGAACATCGTGATGTCGATCAGCTGGACCCTGATGTTGAGAGTGTTGGTGGTGTTTGCAGGCTCGCGGAGGATGGTTGAGGTGAAATCGTCCGCAGTGACGGTGGTGGGATCCTTGCAAGGAACTCCGTTGATAAAGACTTTGGAGTTGGGATCCTGGACGCAGACGTCTTGGAGGGGATCTTCATCACCCCGCACGACTGCAAGGCTGGCAATTGTGAAAACTGCAAGAAGAGCAACAAAAACTTGGGGAAACTTGGCCATTGAGATGTATCGATTGATCGATGCAGAGATGCTATTGGGAGGCTCTGGTATATGTATTTATACTGGGGAATTTCCCGTACATTTATTCTTATTGTATTAGTAGAGAAGTCCAACTGTGTTACCTACATATAAAGACAAACTCTCTTAGATTTTACAATCGAACACTTGGATTCAAAGGCTTCAAGGAAGCAACGCTGTCATATTTCTTTGAGCTTCCGTATGCTAATGAGAACAGTAGTTAGGAATAACATTTTGTGTGGAGGAGTGCAAACTTAACATATAGGACTATGTAGAGCGGTAAAGCAGAGTCAATCTGGACTTCATACTTAACGTGTTTGTCATTGTTTCAATCCCCCGGCAGCCGCAGCCTCCCCTTCGTCTCGGTCCTCTTGGAAGTTTCAAGGCTTTCTGCTGGATCCCAGTTAATGGACACCGCCCCTCCTCGCTGACTGATCTTCTCATCCATAACACTCAAAAGTCTTCCTTACTCGCCGCTCTTGACCTTCCTTGGCCCAGCGGCACTGGCTTGGGAGAGTTTCCAAGTCGGAAACAAAATGCGTATAAACATTATAAGTTTATATTGGTCAGAAAAAGAATCATCAACACATTCCTCAATTTTTATATAGTGCCCAAAAATGCATACCATTGAAGAATGAAGTCCGATCTAGCGGAATCGAACCAGCGACAAAAGGATTTCTGAGTGATACTACAGCCCTCCGAGCCAAGATCGATTTTATTTGTTAATTGAAACTTTTGAACATTGATTAAGTCCGACTCACTCCACTTCGTAACTTATTAATCTCATTTTCATCAACCTGTAAAGCTGTCTCTAGAACTTCGTTCATGATGTTTGGAGTGGTCTGGAACAACGCTCTAGCCATGTCTGTTCTTCCCGGGTTTTGGCTTCCAAGCGCAGCAACTGCGACCGTGCTCGAGTTATTCAGATTTCGCTGGAAGTGAACAAGACCCCTGGGAAAGATGAACAGGTCACCGGGATACAAAACCTTTGCAAACAACCGGTTGGAAGTTGACACAAATCCGACGTAGAGGCGTCCCTGGAGGAGCCAGATGATCTCGGATGCTCGGGGATGGCTGTGTGGAGGATTCACGCCAAATGGACCGAATGCGAGGCGGGCAATGGAGAGCCCTTGTGTGTTGAGGCCTGGAAACATTCTAATATCGACCAAGTCGACTTGGATTCGCAGTGTGTTGTTTGTGACTGGAGCCTGGCGAAGGACGGTGGAGGTGAAGTCGTCAACAGTAACTCTAGTGGGATCTTTGCAAGAGGCTCCGTTGACGAAAACTTTGGAGTTTGGATCTTTGACGCAGAAGTCCTGGAGAGGATCAGGATCGCCCAAAACTCCAAAGATGGCCACCATGCACGAGAGAAGGAATCCAAAAGCATTGCTTGCTAGTGCCATTTGTGCTCTCGCTCACTCTCTTCTTTCCTCTAGTTTAGTCTCTCTCGCGCTCGCTCGCTCTTTTTCTCTATGATCTCTTGCTCGCTCTCTCTAAAACAATGCAGTGGCCGCGAGCTTAAATGCAAAGGAAGATGTAAGTAGGTGGATGTTGATTTTCCTGGCACGCCTACGCCGAGCTGCAGATTGTGTTTCCATCAAGGATCAGATTTACGTTGTTACAACCGTTAAGACTGAGAGGTCCCTATTATATGAGATCAGGTTGATTCGCTGCGCCGTGACACTCGCAAAGCTGGCGGATTTGATGCGGAGAGTGTGTCACGGGTGAGGTGGCAGCCGTCGGCGATGAACTGCTAGAGGGGGTCGAGAACATCTTGCCAGAATCTCACACTACTTCCTTCTGGATTGATTCGCGCGCGAAAATGAGACGAGGGCGAGACTGTTTCCAGCACAAACCTCCGCTCCAGGAAGTAGAATGTAGCTGCGTTCACTTCTACATTAATCTAAAGGAGTGAAGATCGAGCAAAGAAAATACCGTAAGCTTCAACCTTTGACCGAGCAAAGCACCGGAGTTGAGATGACCGGTATAAGTGTTGTTGTTCTCCTACCTGGAAAGAGAAAAACAAAGACAAGTGAAAACTCGCGAACTTGCGAACTTTGTCAAATTGAGCCTGGCATCTGTTGCAGCAGCTCGAGCGTACTTCTCCATTTTTTCGTTGGGATCGATCCCAATGACACTCATGCCGCTCCCTGATCTCACGTAATACTTGAGATTTGGACCCGTGCCAACACCCAGCTCGGCGAGAAAAGATCTTTTGTCTCAGGTTCTCAAACCTGTGCAAGCATCGGTCTTGCAGCTCCCAGCACGCAAAGATCCATCTTGTGGCCGCCTGCCGTGGCAGAATCATTACTCTGCGGCCTTAGTGTGCGCACTAAGCAAGAGATGATTAAATAATACACTATCTTTCAAGTTCTTCAAGGTCATCGCGCCCTTGTCAAGCCTGTGGGGAGAATGGAGGGAGTGGAGTTTTCGATTGTCGGCTGCCGTGCCGACTATCATGGAGTTGATCCGATCTGCCGGAATCGAACCAGAGGATTTCTGCCTGCCAACTAACTTTTGCAAAACATTTATTAGTTGGTCACTCCTTATTATCGTCAAACCTGAGAACTGATGTTTGGATTGGTCTGGAATAGCGCTGTAGCCATGTCTGATCTTCCCGGGTTTTGGCTTCCAAGCGCACCCGTGTCCGAGTTGTCCAGGAGTGAGCGAGACCCTGGGAAAGATGAAGAGATCACCGGAATGCAAAACCTTGAGTTGACACAAATCACGTAGAGGCGGGACGCTCGGGGATGTGTGGAGGATTCACCAAATGCGAGGCAAGAAATGGAGGGCCCCTGTGTGTTGAGGCCTGGAAACATAGTAATATCGACTTGGATTTGTTTGTGACTGGGGGGAGATCTTTGGAAGGCACTCTATTGATGAAAACATTGGAGTTTGGATGCAGAAATCCTGGAAAGGATCCCAAAACTCGAACGATAGCTGAGGACAGAAAGAATGCCACTGTGACAACTTTGATGAAAGCCATAGCTATATAGAACAATACTTGGTATGAATATATGAATACCAGTGCACTGGTATTTAAGAATTGCGTCGAGAGCTCAAAAGAGAAGCCTCGTGAAATTACACAAAAGACTGCATTGGTTTCATTTCTAGAACAAAGAACTATTTGCCCCTATCCACCATAAGTCCCCACGGTAACCAGTGGACACTATGACAAAGCGGATAGAGATCCAGGCAAGGAAAAACTCCCCACCTTGGAAGAATTAGCTCTAGCACAGCAATGACTCAAAAACACTTCCACTGCAAAGTTAAGGAAGGTGATCTCAAGGGCTGTGCAAAACAAAGAACCTGTACAAGAGTGTTGTGATGTTCCCAGCACACTCCCACCACAAGTGGCTCAGAAGATCACAGCCTTGGCCCCTCCAAAAGCTAGAGAGGCATACATTTCTATCGAAGAGCTTGCGAAGGAAAGCACTGCAATGCTAGCAATGCCCCAGGGCACTCTCCAGCACGAAAATCCTAGCTTACAAGACACGAAGCGTAAGTCAGAACCAGATTAAGTATCTCTTCAAACAGCTCTGGCAGAAGGAAAACGAACAAGAAGAATCCTTCTACTCGGCAATAGTCACCTCGACTTCCACACCGGGCTCGATGGTGATGGAGGTGATTTGCTTCACAACCTCCGAAGAGCTGTGCAGGTCGATCACTCGCTTGTGGACCCTCAGCTCGAAACGATCCCAGGTGTTAGTTCCTGTCGAGAAGCAGTGAGAAACAAAAATGAAAAGAGAAAAAATCCCAGAGGGCATACCTTCGCCACAGGGAGACTTCCTGGTGGTGTGACGAAGAACTTTGGTGGGCATCCTCACGGGACCCTTCACTCGAAGCTGCTTGTCCTTGGCACCACGAACCAGATCACTACAAACTAAAGCAGACCACCCAACAAAAACCAAAGGAAAAATCGTCTCAGCCTTCTTTCATGCCTGGAAAGAAATTCTAAACCTTACCTTTCTCCAGATTCTTCACATTCTTGGACGTCAAGGTAATGCGAATGCGATGGAGGGTTTCGGCCGCCTCCTCTTTCCCGGGCTTGTAAGGCATCGCCATGGCGCTTCTTCCTGGCAACTAAAACCACTGAATCGAGCCTTGCGATCACGAAGAAAGCACTCACCTGGGCTCGCTGCGCAAAATCTCCGAGCGCAAGATCCCCGAGACAGACACCTCACGGCCGCTTGCTGAGGGACTAGGGTTAGGTTTAGGGCTTTACAACTATTTTGTTCCGTATCCTACGGTCGAGATGGATTAGATCCAACGGCGCAGGTTTGAATGGAGTGAGCTTTATTTTATGAAGCGGGAAAAGCTTTACATTAGCTCGCAAGCGATGGAAACAAGCGATTGGCGAGCAATTTGATGAGATCTTGTCCGGGATGGATGGCATCGAAGAACATGTACGAGGATCTGGGCGAGCAGACCATGGTCCCATTGCAACCATCTCCAATCTCTGTAAAGCCCAATCCACAGCAGCCTCTATTCACCACCGTGTAGCCTTGAAGAGAACAAGTGAGTAAGAAAAGCATGAGATTTTGAGAACAGCCATACTCACCATAGTTGGAAGGGTTTGAGATGGCGTCCCTTGTCACGTTGTAAGCATCGAAGTTGAAGTAGAACTTGGATCCCGTGAGGTTTGCCTGGAGAGAGTTGAGCGCGGTCTGGAGATCCACGTTGTAAGAGTAAGCCAAATTGTTTGAGTTCTCGTTGCAATTTGTCCGGCAAGATGGGAAAAAGTTGAAAGCGCTCCAGCATTGGATCGTGATCGCTATGGGAGTACAACCCAAAGGTCCCAGCGCTGGAATTATAAACTTGCGAGCTCCCAGATTGTATAAGTCCTGGAAAAGCAGAAAACATTTCAATCTTTAGATCTAATAAAACTTGTTTTACCTTAATTCTGCTCGAAAAAGTGGTGATCATAAGGGCTCGAAAGTCCGCGTCTGTGTAATTGAAGTAGATGCTAAAGTTTTTGTTGGAGAAATCATTGGATCCAAAGCTTAGAATGAAGAGTGCTCTTGCGATTCGAGCTGATGCTGCGGCCACGCCTTCTAGAGCCTGAAGCCTCTGAGTTACATTCGCAAACCACTGGATTTGGAGGCTAAAGTTGTAAGGTGTCTAGACACCAAAGAATCATTAGTATCAGGATGCTGAGACACTGGTGGATTGTGATAGATTTACCAGATTGCTGGAGAGAGCATCTATAATCGCCGCACCTCCAGAAGCCAAGTTTACACCTTGGGTTAGATTCACCCCATTCGCATTTGGATCGAGAAACGGGAGTGCCCTGTTGATTCCACAGTATTGAGCTACAAACCACATTTACATATATGATCATCCACAACTAACATTTGAAATGTTCTTGAAAGTTGGCGGCCAACTTACCAAGATAATCAGGAAGAACTAATCCGTTTGTGAATCGGCCAGTGGGGATTTGATTGGGGTAATCAACACCATAGGGAGTGTGATTTGCTCTGGCAATTGTGAAACTCACGTTCTCAAAATAGTTGTTGTTTCCACTGTCGACAATCGAATCGCCCAAAGTGAACACGGCGGTGGCATTCGTGCAATTGGGACTTTGGGCATAAACTAGAGACAAGGTCGAAGCAAGCAATGCACAAAACAAGATCGCAGAAGACATGTTTTAAGTACTTTTTTTCTTGTAACAAAGATAATATGAGAAACTTGTGTGTTAACTGCGATCTTGAGCGGGGCTTTTATATCCATGATGTGGCTTCCACGCAAAATCCTGGATCTTCCATCCATCCAGCTACAAATTATCTGATTCCAATTGAAATTTCCTAGCTGCTAGTTGTGAGATTGAGATCTTTGCTGTGCCTTCTTCCACCAAACTTAAAGCTACGACTCCAGGAATTTGATGTTGGGCATGACATCATATTTTAAAAGGCGCTTTGCTGACGATGAAATCGAGAGCGCGTGGATTGATTTTGATTCTGCGAGAAGAAGAAGAAGATCATGGCTGCCAAAACACCAGACCAAGTTTTCATCGCCAACAAGCTGATTCACATGTACGGAAGCGCCGGTCGGGTGAAAGATGCACGGATTGCGTTCGACGGCATTGCTTTGGGCGACAGGAACGTTTACACCTGGGTGCTGATGCTCTGTGCATATTCCCGAAATGGGTATATTCGCGAGTCCCGGGCTACGTTTGACGAGATGCCTGAGAAGAACATGGTGGCGTGGAATGCCATGCTAGCTGCATATGCCCAAAGCGGGCACTTTGAAGAATTTGAAATTGTCTTTGGTGAGATTCCCATGTGGAACGTTGTTTCTTGGAACACATTGCTAGCGGCATACTCCCAGAGTGGAAGCAAACAGAAGTCGAAGATTGTTTTTGAATCGATGCCGGAGTGGAACTTAATCTCCTGGAATTCACTGCTTGCTGCGCATACCCAAAACGGGCATCTTAAACAGGCGCGAACAGTTTTTGATGGAATGCCAGCACGAAACTTTATCTCGTGGACTACACTTTTAGCAGGATACGTGCACCATCAAAAGGTCGCGGAGGCCAGCAATGTTTTTATGTCTATGCCACAGCATGACATGGTGTCTTGGACTCTGATACTTACCGCATATGCCCGTATCCGGCATATGCGAAAGTGTGTAGAAATCTTTCATACCGCGAGGCAAGTGGATCTCACGTTTTGCAACGCTATGTTAACTGCGTTTTCTCATGTTGGAGATGTTAAAGGTGGCAAATGCTTTTTTGATACTATGCCTCAGCATGACATGGTGTCGTGGAACAACATGCTTTTGGTCTATGCTCAGAATGGCCACATTGGAAAAGCTCGAGAACTTTTTGAGAAGATGGAGCACCGTGACCTGGTTTCATGGACGTGCATGGTAAGCGCGTATGCTCAAGCTGGAAATATCAAAGAAGCCGAGTTCTTTTTCCAGAGAATGCCTTTCACGAATATTGTGTCGTGGAACTCGATGATCTCGGCTTACAGCCAAAAGGGAAACTTTGAGAGAGTTGAGAAGATGGTAGAAAAAATGCCGCAGTCGAGTTTGTCGTCGTGGAACGCTGTTCTAGCTGCCAATTTCGATAGAGGAAATCCGGAAGGAGCAAAACTAGTGTTTGACGAGATGCCGGAGCACAACTCCGTGGCTATGAGCTCACTGATTTGTGGATATGCGCAGTTTGGTTTCATGGATTTTGCACGGGAGGTTTTTGAGAGTGTTCCTCACAAAGATCTACTGTCGTGTACGTCGATGCTGATCGCTTTCGCAAACCACGGAGAAGTGGAAGAAGCGAAGCATTTGTTTGAAACAATGCCACAGCGAGACATCGTTGCTTGGAACGCAATCCTGGTTATGTATGGTCAAAACGGTGATTTAGAAAACGCAGCAAGGATTTTCAGCTCTATGCCCGAGCGCGATCTCGTTTCATGGACCTCGATTCTGACCAAGTTCGGACAGAGGGGAAAACTCCAAGAGGCGATGAAAATCTTCGACGAGCTCGAAACTCTACACACTCCTGACCAGGTTTGTTTCGTGGGAGTTCTCATCGCTTGCAGCCACAAAGGAAAGCTTGCTCTCGCCAAGGAGTACTTTCTGTCCATGAGACACGACTTTGGAATAGAGCCTGTGAAGCAGCACTACTGTTGCATGGTGGATTTGCTCGCCAGAGCCTCGTATCTGGAAGATGCGAGAGAGCTCTTGGCGACGATGCCATTTAAACCAGATGCTGTAAATCTGGTGGCTTTTCTTTCGGCGTGTAGGATGGGCCGGATGAGTGATGATCATATTTGTCACAGTGCCGGTCTTGTCGCAAAGAGCGTCTTGGATTTGGATTCCAGGAATGGAGCTGCTCACATCTTGCTAGCAAACGTTCTGCGTGATCCACCTGAAGTTTAACTTGTTGTTTTGTTCCTGCCGCGGAGGACAATCTTGCAGTCTAGATATATGTTCGACAAAGTTGATGGGTAGCTTGAATGAACGTCGCGTCCTTCTGGGTAAAAGTTTAAGTCAAGTACGCCTCTTCCCAGCTATTTGGAATTCGTGAATTCATGGGTTTTATCAGCGATTTCAAAACGTGAAGGAACTTTACCTTGAGAAAAATCGAGTCAAAGTCATCAAATGTGAGGCACGAGAAAGGGTAGCCTATGTGAAAGTCCAGTCTGAGGTGTGGAAACTTTCTTTACAATGCAAGAGAGAAGCATTGAAGTGGTCTTCGACTTTGGCAATTTAGCTTAGCAGTGGCTAAACTGTAGAATCCAGCTATAAAAACCGCCACAAAGTTCGAACGTGAGCAGCAAGGCATCTCGCAGAGTGTTCTTCGGTGTTGCGGCAAAGTCTCAGCAAAGTTTCAAGAAAAAATCTCGATCCATTTTCCCTCTTTTTGCAAGCATGAAGAAGGTGACACTCTCAACTTGTGGGAGCTGCAAGGGAAAGACTGATGCACTTAAGAAGATCAAAGGTATGTACAAACTTTGGATTGGAAATTCGAGAGCCGATCTCGTGGATGTTTCTGTTTTTGAACAACAGGGGTTGATAAGGTGGAATGGGAGTCGTCAGGCCTGGTAGTGATCGGCAAATTTGATGTGGACGACGTGGTCAAGGCGATGAATTGCCACCACAGTGTTCTTCGTTCCATCGAGAACAATTACGAGCCCCCAAAGAAGAAGGAAGAGAAGAAGGAAGAGAAGGGGGGCAGTAGCGTTTTGTATGTTTACGCCCACAACTACAATCACTACAATTGGAAGTGAATTTGTTCTTCTAATTGCTCTGCAAGAACAAGGGTGTGTATGAAATAATTTCAAGAGTTTCAAATCTAGAAGAGCACTGAATTTGACAGAGCATTTAATTGTCAGAATCATATCTGATGTAAGGTTTTCAAAAGTTAGATCTTTCTATCTATTTTTGTTGGTCCCAATCGTGAAACTGATGAATGCAAAAGACTTTGCATAGCACAAATGCCGGTGCACGTCGCCGTAGTCAAGGCTATACTTCTAGATTCAGTGACAGGAAGAATCTCACAGCGAGGGAGAGAGAGAGAGAGAGAACAAAGGGCCCAAGATAAGAACAACCTTTTGTTTAATGTCTATATCACCTTGCGGAATTTCATGGGAGATTCGGCGCCAAAAAGTTACAACATAAAAAAAAAGGTAAAGTCTTTTTGGAAACGCAGGGGTGGTGAAGTGGAATCGGAGAGAGGAGAAGAAGGAACAGTCTCTGATCATGAAGTTCGTCTCTTCGCTTTCCCACGGTGCCACGCAATGTGTTGGAATAGTGGCAACGACCACTTCAAGTAGGGAATCACCCATGCCCGGAGGCTTGCTGCTGTATGATTTGCTGCTCAACTTGGAAATTCAGTTCTGGGTTCAAACGCGACAACCTTTTGCAGGCTTTGATGAATCGGTCTCTCATAAGAAGAATAGACAGTTAAAGTTGCAACACAGCGGATCTAGACGTGTGGAATTTTCTTCTGCATTATGTCGTCTTTGACTATTCGCTGAAATCGCGAGGAATTTGGTGGTGACGCGTCGTCCTACAAAGACTGTACCGTAGAATCAAGCTATAAAAACCGCAAACGTGAGCAGCAAGGCATCTCGCAGCGTATTTCTCGATTTTCTGGCACATCTTGAGCGAGCAACTCCAGTTTCCTTTCCTTGTAAGCATGAAGAAGGCGACACTCTCAACTTGTGAAAACTGCAAGGGGAAGACTGACGCGCTCAAGAAGATCAAAGGTATAGCACAATCTTTGCATTGGATCGCGGCCCTGATTCCATGAAATCTCTGGTGCGGTTTTCCCAATAGGGGTCGATAAGGTGGAATCGGAGTCGTCAGGCTGGTGGTGATTGGAAAATTTGATGTGGACGACGTGCTAAAGGCGATGGATTGCCACCACAGTGTCCTTCGTTCCATCGAGAACAATTACGAGCCCCCCAAAAAGAAGGAAGCAGGCTCTAGCGTTATATATGTGTACACCCACACCTACAACCAGTGGAAAACGTATGAAACTAAAAAACGTAACGTTTTAAACGCGTTAAAAAACGCCGTTCTAAACTCCCAACGAGTTTGCACTATTTGCGAAAAGAGACAAAGGTTTCTTTAGGGTTTCTTCAGAACTTCATAAGGGATCTCCCTCATTGCTTTGCACGTTTTCACACCTCTTGCCCAAACTCCAGCACTCGCTCCGCTCCCCCAGTGTGAATCTCATGACAATACTTACATGTCCAGTGCCGCTCTGCTTGTATCACATGCTTCCAGCTCCAGCATTCGTGGCGTCCTCCAATTCCTGCCATGAACCCTTAAAAAACCTCGCAGCAGTTTTTCCGATTTCGAGCTAGCAGACCCAGCAGATGCCGATGATGGGCATCTGCTGCAGCAAGCCGCACAGGGTTCAGGGGGGCCAGCAGAATCTATGGTGGCAAGCACGGAGAACTGGTCCAGTGCTGAGACAAGCAGATCAGCGAAACGGCTTCTTCTTTCATTTGTTTTAGTATGTTATTCGGTTGGGTTTTATAAACTTAATATTA